AAATAAGAACTTCTGTGTCCTGCTAAGGGGGAATGTAAACTGTTACAATAGAACAGTAGACTCAACTACTGAACTCGTCACTAGGGAAAATGGTTTGTAAACATGGTGAATCCATATCATGGATCAAACTGCAAGTAACAGCCGTCAAAGCCATCAATTACGTATAAATACAGCCATATGGACAGATCTCTAAGGTCAGCATTGAAGGAAAATTAAGAAAAAGAATGAGATCCATAATAGTACAAAATCACCTTGTGATTAAAAAACAGTATTGGGTAACTTATAAAGATAAATACACATCTAAGATATATCAGTAGGTATAAGAGGGTAAGTGGGGTGCAGAGGGAGTGGGAAAATCACTATGAAGGGGAAAAGTAGTAAAATACAATGAGAAGGGCCTTGTGCAGCCCATATGTGATTATATGCTAAGAAGTGATTAGGAACTTTGAATGACTGAACTCCCTATACCTGAGATCCTCCTTTAAAAAGCTCACCCTTCTTATAGAAGAAGCCAAGACAGTAAGTTACAATGATAGGAATTAAGCTACCAGTGACAAAGTGCTCAGTCAACCTTCTGCCTTCTGTTGACAACACTAACCTGCCCTAGTTATATATAAAGAAAAATTTACTTTCATACAAGTTTCGCAGCTTTTCAACATCCATGTACCTGGAAAGATAAGAAAATTAGTATATCTTTCCATGTGAGTCCTTTTGATTGATTCAGGCTATAGTGTAAGTTTCCTTTCAGTTATTCCAAGGAGAATCAGCATGACCAAGCAAAGCAGGTTCCAAAGGCAGGAAGCAGAAGGAATATGATGTTATGGAGCTACCTTTTCTTTTTTTTTTAAGACGGAGTTTCACCATGTTGGTCAGGCTGGTCTTGAACTCCCAACCTCAGGTGATCCTCCCACCTTGGCCTCCAAAGTGCTTGGATTACAGGCGTGAGCCACCACACCTGGCCCTGGAGCTACCTTTTCTGAAGAGTCTGCTCTGCCATTGTGGGGCCTTGGGGCCACTCGTCAATGTAAGTGCTTGGCAACAAGTCTGCTGAAACAGGCGGACTTTGTGGCTTTTGTAGTCTCTCTTGGACAGCACTGGTCAGAGCTACATAAGCCTCATCGATGCTGGCATGTTCATCACAGCAAAACAAGACATTACCTCCATTACTTCAACACTGGCTTCCCCGTACTTGGCCAGATTAGCTTTCCCACGGGACTCATGAACTTGTGCCAGTAGAAGATCTGGACATAACTTCTTAGCATCATCTGCCTGTATGTAGTGACCCCAAATACATAAGCTTCATAACTCACGGCAATTACTCCGCCACACTTCCATGATTTGTATTGTACAACTGCACAAAGTTTACTCTTCAAATGAGGATTTTGCTGCTGCTCCACTTGAACCAAAAAGAAAAACAGTCCATGTTCATGAGAGCAACCACATGTTCCTCTAGCCATTTTTCAACATAACACCTGGCCACACTGCCAACAGTGGGTGCTACAAATGCTGGGCTCGGTGCCCATTGCAGGGAAAATGGAAGGGCTCTTGAATATCTTCTTGCCTTTCTGGGAGGGGGCCAGAGAGTTTCGAGAGAGATTTATTTCCTGTGATGATGGAGGAGCAGAGAAGGGGTTGTAAAGGATCCTGCCCAGACAGCCGTTCCCACAGTTCGGCAGGGATCAGCTGAGAGCAGTGTGCCCTGCAACGAAGCCACCAGACTGAGGACAGAAAGCACGTGTACTGCCTAGAGAAAACCATTTTCTTTCCTCACGTTTTTTAATGCTCCTACTTAATGTATTTTCTAGCTTTATCTCTCACCTCTTCCCAGCTTGCAGCTTATGTTTTAGCCCAATACAACTATTTTCTATTCTCTGAAAGCGATAGGTTATCACCTATTTTCTATTCTCTGAAAGAGATAGGTTATCACTAACAAAAATAGTATTTTGTTAATTGTCTATATATATACTTTTTAATTTGGCTGAAGGTGTTGATGGTGTGTTAATTTTTGTGTATTGGAGAGTTTAGGTTCTAGCTTAGTGGCAGATAGTATGTATTCAGTAAATATTAGGCTAATTAAGTGAATTGCAAAATTTATACATATTTGTGAAAGAAAATGAGAAAATGAGAAAAGGAGAAAGAACAAATTACCCATAGTCTCACCATTTAAATGCAGCAACTGCTGACATTTATGTCTACAGTGATCTTGTGTGGATAAATTTCTACTTTCTTACTGCCTTCATAGATAACTTAGGAAAGAGAGTCATTCCCCTTTCCCACTTCACATAGACATTATGAATTTAGTATATGCAAAATTTCTAATAATGCTATTAAATGATTTGGCCTGGAGAATGTTAACCATACTAAACTTTCACTATTTACTACGTATGACTGGAGCTGCTTTTTACTTGCCTGGTGCTGGAGAATTGTATATATGCCTCTGTCCTTCCTTCCCTAGAACCTCGTTTTGGAGGGTTTAAGAAATTCTTCATGCGATTCAATTTTATATTCCCACAAAGCTTAGCCTTTTATGTGTAATGCTTAACACTACTATATAAGCTAATCTGTATTTTTGGAAGAGAATGGTTGCTGTACTGATGGTGCTTTTCACTGTAGTGTTTTCCTAAGGAGCAAATTGAAGCTCAGAGAGGTTAGCAGCTTACTACACTCTAAACTCTAGATAGATAAAAATTAATACATACTGAATGCCATCAAGAAGGTGTAACATTCCAGGACTAATCAGTGGCAAAATTGAGACTAGAATCCGGGTCCTTTGACTCCAGCTCTTCAGTAGCTCAATGTTGTTGGTTTGTCGCTTGGGAAGAACTGGCAAAGGTTAATTGAAATGACTGTGATCTTTTTTTTAAAACAGACCCAACTTCTAATGGACTTTTATTCTGCCTTGGATTTCTGCTTTTTTTCTTCCGTTTTTGCCATGAAGCCTTTGCTTTTATTTTTTTATTCTATTTGCAAGATTCTGGGTGACTTATCCCTTGTAATATTTCCTGGTTCCCACCTTTCTGTCTTCTACTTAGCCCTTCTATCCCTCTCAAAGGGAAAAAGTTTAGTGGTGAATGTGAAAGATGCCAAGTAGTGAAAGTTGTAATTCATGGATATATGGCTGTGATGATTACTTTAGTTCTTTTACCTGCCTGTAAGAGGAAATTCATTATTGAAATTGAGGAAGCTGGCCGGGCGCGGTGGCTCACTCCTGTACTCCCAGCACTTTGGGAGGCCGAGGCGGGTGGATCACGAGATCAAGAGATCGAGACAATCCTCCCCAACATAGCGAAACTACGTTTCTACTCAAAATATAAAAATTAGCTGGGTGTGGTGGCTTGGGCCTCTAGTTCCAGCTACTCTGGAGGCTGAGTCAGGAGAATCACTTGAACCCAGGAGACAGAGGTTGCAGTGAGCGATGATTGTGCCACTGCACTCGATCCTGATGACAGTGCGAGACTCCGTCTCAAAAAAATAAAATAAAATTTAAAAAGAAAAGAAATGGAGGAAGCCCAAGTATGTTTTATGTTTCTTTGCTTCATTTTATTTTTAAAATTTATTTTTGCTTCTTCTTTTTTTTTTTTTTTTGAGACGGAGTTTTTCTCTTCTTGCCCAGGCTGGAGTGCAGTGGCACCATCTCAGCTCACTGCAGCCTCTGCCTCCTGGGTTCAAGTGATTCTCCTGCCTCAACCTCCCTAGTAGGTGGGATTCCAGGCATGCACCACCACGCCTGGCTAATTTTGTATTTTTAGTAGAGATGGGGTTTCTCCATGTTGATCAGGCTGGTCTCCAACTCCCAACCTCAGGTGATCTGCCCACCTCGGCCTCCCGAAGTGCTGGGATTACAGGTGTGAGGCACTGCACCTGGCCTCTTGCTTCATTTTTAAGATAACCTCTTTCGAGCCTCATTGTCTGAAGGTTGGGGCTTTGAGCAAAAAAACTAACACATTTAGAAATACTAGTCTTTAAACCCTGAGAAATTTTAACTGTTTTCACCTTAAAAAATGATAAGTAAATGAAGTAATGCATATGATAATTAGCTTAATTTAGCCATTTCACAATAAATGCATAGTTTGTACTTGACAAATATATACAATTTTTATTTGTCAAAATAAATGAATTTTTAAAAATTCTAGATCTTGATTGCTAATTTCTCATATCAGTCAGCCATTTCTGATGGCTGCTTTTGCCCCAGATTGCATCTTTCTCTGGGAGAAAAATCTTCATTTCTTCATATTCGGCAGCTTGAGGGAGAATAGGCAGAGTCTTTGGATTTGATTTTCTTCTCTTTTGCAATTAACTTGACCTCCTCCTGACTTTAAGACAGGCTGTTAAAGCCAGCATGTTACTTGAGACAAGATGCTTGATATACTTTTTCTTAGCACAGAGATGCTATTGGACGGTTAGCATACTGCACAAAATAGAATTAGGTTTATAAAAAATGAAATTGAAAGTTTTTGGGGAAGTTTTTTTTTATAGTTTAAGATTTCTCTAAGAGGGAAAGCTCTTGCATAATTAATTAAGGGTTGTCTACTAAGTTTTGACAGTTGTAAACAGAAGCTTTTAAAGCTCTAACATACATGATGGAGAAAATGGGTTGTTAGACACAAAGGTTTCTGTGTACATGGAACACTAATAGCTGTCAATTCTGAGACAGGAACTAGAATATAATGTCTCTAGAGTAGATGGATTTCATACTTACATGTTAAATTTCCATTACCTGTGCTTGCAGTTTTCATCTTTTGCAAGGACTTTTTGATGTGATTGCTTAATTCTGATTCCCATTCTGCTGTGAGACAAGCCAGGGCTGCTTCAAGTTAGGCCCTTAGGAGCCCAGTGGTTGGGAAAGAGAAGCAGCTTGTTTGTAAAACAACTACATGCACCTGTTGTTTTTCTTGTCGTCGTCTTCTTTTGGGGCTTGGAAAATAAGTTTTAACTTTTCACAACAGACAGCAATTCTGGTTTTGTATTGTTTTATTTTAAGGGAAATGTTTTTTTTCTAGCCATGAAGATGGACCCACTGCTAAAAAATTAAAGACTGAGGAAGGGGGAGCCCACTTCAGCATCTCCAGCCTGGCTGAAGGCAGTGTCACCTCTGTAAGCAAATCTTTCCCAGTGTGCTTCCCCCTTTGCTGGAAGGTTGGGGCTTGAGGGAGAGTGCATCAATTTTTGTTAGTCTGTTCTTATCACTTTCAAGTAAGATCATGATCACTTTCTCTGGTCCTTGCTCTGTATAAGCCGTAAAGACCCATTCCATAATTCTTCCTTTAAGTAATTATTGTCATGAATTACCTACAGAATTCACTATATGACATAAGGTATATAGAGCTCTTTATAATCTACAGAACATGGAACATCTCAGTGTTGAGATTTTACTGTTGGCTTCATTTTGCAGCTTTTCAACTAGTCAAACTGATAGGATAAGTGGGGGTTAGTGATATGTCTTAATCTTCAAGTACATACAATTTAAGTTAGTATAACTTTCCTGTTTTCTAACACACAACTTCAGAACAGGATTCATAAGTTTAGGATTTCCCCAAGCTAAGTATCAGATTTTTATTTAATTAAAAGTTTTTTTCAAACTTTAAAATACTACCTTATTTTATTTTATTTATCTATCTTTGTATCTATCTATCTATCTTGCTCAGCTAGGAGGAAGAATATTTTATTTAGTTTTAGAGATAGGGTGTTGCTGTCACCTAGGCTGGAGTACACTGGGCTCAAGTGGTCCTCCTGCCTCAGCCTTCTGTGTAGCTAGGACTACAGGCACATGCCACCATACCCGGATATTTTTTTGTAGAGGTGGGGGTCTCAGTATGTTACTCCTGGGCTCAAGCTGTCCTCCAGCTTCAGCCTCCTACAGCGCTGGGGTTACAGACATGAGTCACTACACCCAGCCAAATAGTGCTTTCTTTTAAGCAGCATTAGTGTGAATCAACAGATCTTAAAAATTGGCCAAAAACTTTTTAGCAATATTTATTAGGAAGGATAGTCAGGGAATAAAGGGCATGCCTTTATTCTTACCAAAAACAGAAACTCTCTCAGAAAAAATGAATGTGTGAAAAATGATTTAGGTTTCATTTAGATGTTTTATATAGAATAATAAAGGAAAAAGTCATGTTGTTCTGAGAGCTTTTCTGCTTCTTACACCTGAGCAAACTGGAAACTGTAGTGCATTTTGGAACCCCATTGTTTTCTTTCCTATAAGCTAAGTGGTTCTTGGGCCTGGTTAGGGTTGGGGTCAGCAGATTAAAAACAGGTATAATCAGAAAGTTCCATATAATACGGCAGAGTTTCGTTTTTCACACTTCCTCTCCCAGCACTGTGGAACATCTTTGTACATAATCTGTTTTTACTTCGTAAGGACATACTCAGCTTGGATATGCTTGTATATTCTACCAAAACTTTAGTGCCGAAGGGTCAGCCGTAGTCCCACTAATGGGAAGTTTGGCGAATCGGGTACTAAGCTGTGTTTCTCATGTCATCTTAGTGGGGCAAATGTGTTCGGAACGAACCCCACGCTACATAATCCCCCCCTTTCTAATTGGTTGGGTGACAGGATATACAGGCAGTCTGCGCTACAGAAAGCCCTCCAGCTGTGCTGGCTGGTGGCTTGAGTTGTAATACGTTTCTGACCCCTCTGGAAAGAAATCAGCTTGAAGAAAGCAAAGTGAATGAAAGCATAGAGGGCAGCTAATTGACTAGTGGAATCTGTCCACCTTTCACAGAGACCTGGAAATGAAAATGAATAGAAAAGCCCTTCTCTTTGTCTTTGGTTTTATTTTATAAGAGCACACTTACTACATTAAGTCATCTTGTATTGCTTGGGGTGCTGCTATAAAGAGAAATACCTGTAAGTTTATAACCTGTTGGTATTTTCTAGGTTGGAAGTGTGAATCCTGCTGAAAACTTCCGTGTTCTAGTGAAACAGAAGAAAGCCAGCTTTGAGGAAGGTGAGTGGTTGGCTTTGCTTTTAAGAGAAGCTGTTTAATTAAGACAACTGATTTAAAGTCTAGATTAAGAACTGTAGCCTTTTGTTGTGACACTTTAGCATTTTTTTTTACTGGCGGATTTGTGGTTGTCCCTTGTTAGGGAGCTCACTGAGGCAACATTATGAGCACATGAAGGTGAACTCAGCATGGATTTTCCCAAAAAGGGACTAATTTGTAGGTCTCTATTAAAAACCTTTGGGCCAAAACCTTGGAGCTTTTAGTTCCACTTCATTTAAGTATTTTGAGATTTTGTGAGTGAGCTATAAGTAAAACACTTTTATTTCACACTTCCTATTTTCTTTCTTTCTTTTTCTTTTTTTTTGGAGACGGAGTTTTGCTCTTGTTACCCAGGCTGGAGTGCAATGGCACCATCTCGGCTCACTGCAACCTCCACCTCCTGAGCTCAAACGATTCTCCTGCCTTAGCCTCCCGAGTAGCTGGGATTACAGGCATGCACCACCACATCTGGCTAATTTTGTACTTTTAGTAGAGTTGGGGTTTCACCATGTTGGTCTTGAACTCCTGACCTCAAGTGATCTGTCCACCTCGGCCTCCCAAAGTGCTGGGATTATAGGCATGAGCCACCACACCCAGCCACATCTTCCTATTTTCAGAGACACATAATTCTTGTTCCATTCCTAAGAGGTTGGGGCGTATTTATAGTAGACCCAGAAAGACCTTGATGCTGCCCCTAAATTTAATCCTCAAAATGGCTACATGGACACTTTCTTTATCAGATGGTACCTAGAATCTCATTAAGGCTGTGGCTAATATAAAAATAGCTTCTAGGGCTGCACAGAGGGTCTGGGACTAACATTCATTCACTTGATTGCATTCAGATTGCTGTTAATTTACCCTTTGAATGGTGGCAACTGGCAGTTGTTAATCCTGCAGGTTTATGTATAAATTGTTAAATTTATTATTGCTACTCCAGGTCTGGCCTGTCTTTGAGCTGACTTCTGTGTATATAAGTGTTTATATTTGTTCATGTGTGTATAGAACTTTCTTTTCCAGCATGTTGCTGGGGGCAGTGAAATGACTTTTTTTTTTTAAGAGACAGGGTCTCACTCTGTCACCCAGGCTGGAGTGCAGTGGGAGGATCATAGTTCACTGTAACCTTGGACATCTGGGCTCAAGTAATTCTCCCTCCTCACCTCCTGAGTAGCCAGGACTTAAAGGCATGTGTGTCACCATGCCTGGCTACTTTTTAAAGTTTTTGTAAAGACAGGGTCTTACTCTGTTGCCCAGGCTGGTCTAGAACTCCTGGCCTCAAGTAATCCTCCTACCTCGGCCTCCCAAAGCCCTGGGATTACATGTGTAAGCCACCATGCCTGGCCAAAAATTACGTTCTTTTTTTTCTTTTTTTTGAGACAGTCTTGCTCTGTTGCACAGGCTGGAGTGCAGCCTTCACCCTGGGTTCAAGCATTCTCTTGCCTCAGCCTCCTGAGTAGCTGGAACTACAGGCACATGTCACTCCACCTGGATAATTTTTGTATTTTTAGCAAAGGTGGGGTTTTGTAGTGTTGGCTAGGCTGGTCTTGGAACTCCTGACCTCAAGTGATTGCCCACCTTGGCCTCCCAAAGTGCTGGGAATACAGGCTTGAGCCACCATGCCTGGCCCAAAAATGAGGTGCCTAGAAGCACTACTACCTGCAATAGGTCTAATAATGCACCTTACTACTTAGAATCTAGGAATCCTGGCAAGATTCCCACATCTACTGTGCTGTTGCCCAGAGGCAAGCATAAGCAGCTGAGCCTCACAGAGAGCTTACAGTCTACCAAGCTAATCCTATTGGCAGACCACTAAGAATCTCCTGAGGAAGAACAGCTTTATTATCATAGTAATCTGCAGTCTTTAAGTGATGTCTGCAGTCTTTTGAGATGGAAGAACTTTTTGTCCTGCTAAGAGTTGCCATATAGGAGAAAAACTTTCAGTTTTAACACAAAACAAAACTTCATGAAAATAGAAGGAGATCTAAAATTCTCAGTGACAGTTTTCTAGAAGGATTAGTGAAAACAGTACTTCAGAACTTATCTCTTTAATGTGGTGGAGTGATGAAGGGACTTTCACAGTATTACACCTTGTGTCTGTTCAGCTGCATATTGTTACCGAGTGTTTGGAAAGGGGCAGAGATGCTACTGTGACAAGTCAATGAACTCTATTGTCTATCAAGACTACTGTGTTTTTGAAGGAAAATTGAGTCTTTCCTAGCTTTCAATTGTATGTTGACAATTGCCTCAGCCAGTCAAAGTCCAAGGTCCCCCATTTGGGTCTGTGTTCAAGTCCAAGGTCGACCCTGTGGTTGGTTTAGGCATGGTCTCTTCAAGGACTAAATCTAGCTGTCGTCACCATTATGTGGCAACCACTAGTTGTTTCATATCCACTATGTGCAAGGCATCGTGCTAGCACTTTATTATGTTATTCTAATTACCCTGCATAGCAAAAGAAATGAAGAAAATGTTAGCGCTTTAACAGCTTTTGCCAGAATTTCTGAGAGAATTGCTTTATTGGGGAAATAACTTTGATAAGTGCTAGGGTAGAGAATGAGTCTCCATCTCCAGACTTGGTTGGCCAGTACAGAGGCTCTGGAGGCAAGGGAAGCTCCTCAGCATAGAAGTAGAAAAACTATCTAGTTCAGAGAAGAGGGGCTGAGGATAAAAAGGAGGCAGGGAGACAAAGTGGATAAATTTATGCACAGTCACGGCCTTTTACGAAAAACGTTCCAGACTAATGACCATAAATTACTGGGCGTCAGTAAAACTCTGGAAATGCTACGTTTAAGTATTTGGGGAAACTGATGAAAAGTCAGTTTGGTGTCTGGCATTATTTCATGCAGAGCAGAGAAAGTACCTGAGCGCACAGGAAACCAGAGTCTGAAGAGACCAGGAGAGTCAGTTTCTGAAAATTTACTCACAACTGAGGAAAATATACCTTATCCCCGGCTGTGGGCTTGGGGATCCAAAGCAGTCTTGTGAAAATATCAAGATAGATAGCATATTAGTTACAATAAGTATTATCCCCATTTTACTAGTAGATAAACTGTAAAATTGGAGGAGATGCATTCTCCCCAAAGATCACATAGGAATTCAAACACATGTCTCTTTCAAATACTGGATTTTTTCCTTAGCCATAATGTTTCTTTTGATTCCTAATGCCTTCTTTTCCTACACTTTTTAAAACAACATTTATAAGGTTATGTATCTGAAACCTTGTGCCCGTTGATAAGACTTTTGATGAATAGACTGTCTTTTTGTGTTGAATGTGACTTTGAGACCCAGCATGTTGCTAGTATTTCAAAAAAGGATGTCCCGCTCACCTCCGTCTAAGACTTGGTAAATCAGAGCCTTCTGTTCATGTCACAAAACCAGGCTCTCCACAGAGCAGTCAGAAAATGGGACTGCTTGTTAGCAATTAGTTCTCCTTATGGTTCTAACTTGGCTTCCCTTTTCTCCCTTCTGCCTTTCTTGCCAGCTCAACAACTTGTCTCTTTGTTGATGTCCTGTTCTTTGTTTTGGGCATCTTGTTTGTGTGTTCTCCCACTAGGGCATCTTTTTATAAGCCAAGACTCACTTCTCTTGCAGGCCCAAAGAGTTCTTCCCTAGTAGTGATCTTTTAGAGAGATTTCTGTCCAGGGTGGGGAGACAGGAATCCCTTCCCCTTTATTCCAGTAAATTCATTTTTTAAAATTCAGTTGTCAAAAGTGATTAGCAATAGACAGTTGGTAAGATTGTTTGACCCTTAGGTAGAACTTGGCTGTTTTTACCTATCATTATAAACTAAAATATGGGCATAGTTACTTCTTTCTCAGACCTGATAGTAGCATAGTCAAACTGAGAATCTTGTGATTCTCTCCCCGACCTCAGCAGTTTATATATAGTGGGCAGCTACACATTTTCTTAACTTCTGGTTTTCAGTGTGAGGGAGGTATCTTGTTCTAAGCTTATTGGCAGAGGAGATAACCAATGCCCTGAACCCTAGGAAGTGTGTTCTTTCTGGCTGCCCTTTTCTCAGTCCCTTCCTGAGTTGGGAAAGTACCTTTCTTCCATTCTCTCTACCCATCACCATTCTGTCACCACAGTGTTAAAATAGAAAACAATTTTTTCTCTCTCTTTTTTCTTTTTGAGAGAGTGTCTCACTCTGTTGCCCAGACTGGATGCAGTAACATGATCACAGCTCACTGCAGCCTCAACCTCCTGAGCTCAAGTGATTCTCCCCTCAGCACCCCGACCCCAAGTAGCTGGAACTACAGGTGCACACCCACACACCCGACTGATTTTTGTAGTTTTTGTAGAGATGAGGTTTCGCCATGTTATCCAGGCTGGTCTTGAATCCCTGAGCTCAAGCGATCCCCAAAGTGCTGGGATTACAGATGTGACCCACCAAGCCCAGCTCAGAAAACATTTTGACCACAACTCTATGTATAATAATCATCTATCAGTTGTGAAAGTAGTGTTGTTTCCCTGCTTACACTATTCATAAGTGCATTATTGCTGTCATCTGGGATTTGTTATCTGTAGTTTTGGTTTCAGAGAATCTCCAGAGGCTCTTCACATTGAGTTTATCTACTCGTTTGGACATCTTCCACTCAAGTGATCAAGAGTTGCTAAGGAGGAATGCCAGGATTTCCAATTCCTTGCCCTTTCCCAACTTAGGAAGAATGCTAAAATAGTCAAAATATAGCAGGTTGGAGAAGGAAAAGCCACATTACTACTTGCCTCCAGACTATTCCTGTGTGATTATGTCTGAATTTATAAATTCCCAGTGAGTATGGGAGATTATGTAAAATAGCTTGAATGTTCCTGGTGTGTCAAAAACAGGTTTTATGAGGGCCTTAAGAGCCAGAAAGGATAGATATATGGGGACAGATAAAAGGATGGAATGTAACTTAACTTTATAATGAGATGATTCTCTCTTTCAAGGACCTTGTTTTTGCCACTGAAATTGTAGGTTTTCTATTAGG